TATGGGTGTCATTGTTTAGGGGTATTGGTTATAAATTGTTATTGGCCATGGTCAGAAAATAAAACTAAGCAAAGGAGATTAGATTCATGTCTCTCTTTTTGAAGAAAATAGGGGGATATAGTGTTGAAATGATATAATAAAAAGGGGTTGATTATTGTATCTACTTTCTTTTTTCAGGGGGGCGTTTCAAGACAGTGTTTCTCAGTAGCTTTGGAGGCTGTCCTGGAACTCACTCTGTAGACCAGGTATATCTACTTTCAAACTAAGAAAACAACTACTAGTCTCAAATATTTTTCATTGGTATGGATTCTGTATATTGATACAAATCTAAGGTTATTTTTGCTATACTGTATATATGTTTCTGTTCTTGATATTTTGTATATTGATACAAATTTAAAGTTATTTTTGTTATAATGTATTACATGTTTTTATTTCTTGTTTAAGGTATTGTAAATATGCAGCTGATTTAAAAATTTAATGTAGGCCAGGCGTTGGTGGTGCATGCCTTTAATCCCAGCCCTTGGGAGGCAGAGGTAGGTTGATATCTGTGAGTCTAAGGCCAGCCTGGTCTACTGAGTGAGTTCCAGGACAGCCTCCAAAGCCACAGAGAAACACTGTTTTGAACCCCCCCCCAAAAAAATGTAAAGTTCTAGTCCTTGAAGCTATTTAGGACAATAAAGAAAGACAGAAAGACATGTTAGTAGCTAGTCATTTGTAACAAACTTATAGTCGTGTTAGGTATATTTTCAAGGTCAATCAGAGACATTTTAAATAAATGGTCTTCAAACACTTCAGAGACCTACAGAATATGGCATTTTTAAAAATTTATCTTTATTTCATTTGCATTGGTGTTTTGTATGCACGTATGTCTCTGTGAGGGTGTCACATCTTGAGGTTACAGACAGGTGTGAGTTGCCATGTGGGTGCTGGGAATTGAACCCAGGTCTTTGGGAAGAACAGCCAGTGCTCTTAACTTCTGAGCCATCTTTCAGTCCCTGAATATGGCATTTTAATATTTTAATAGCGTAGGGCTTTTCATGACAGTGAGACAGGTCTGCTCCTGGCGGCACCAATCTACATCAGAGAAAATAATGAATCACTCCTGATTGTTAGTGATGGGGACAGGGGGACGGGGCCTGGTGAGCGAGTGCTGAGTGCTGAGTGCTGAGTGAATGAGTGGGGACAGAAGGAGAAGCCTCTCATGTCAGTGCATGGCAGGCTCAGAGAGGATAGCTGGGTCTGAGTCTAATCTGAGCTACATAGCAAGACCTTGTCTCAAAAGAAAGAAAGAAAGGAGAGGGGAGAATAGAAACACAGCTGGCTTTGGCCCCTCTATGTAGATGGGATGGCCCCGAACTGATCTTCCTGCCGCTACCTCCCAAGTGTTGGGACAAGTGCCTGTCATCATATCTGGCTCTCTGGTTGTTTTGAGATAGCCCAGGCTCATCTTCAACTTGCAGCAATCCTCCTGCTTCAGCCACCGCACACTCTGTCAAGTCATGACAGGTCCACTCCTATCCGTTCTGTTACAACCCTCAGCATCCCATATGACCACAAAGAGATAGGAGATGCCACCTTCTGGTGAGGACCAGGGTGGGGACTTGGTGAGGGACCGGGTAGTGGACCTGGGCTCTGCTCAGTATTCAGGTCCCAGAGATGACCTATAGGCCCCTGTCAATCAAGCTGAGATTAAGACACACTTGCACAGACAGGCACAGGGGACCAGAGCCTCACACTACCTGAGCCTTGGTGAGCCAGCTCTGAGCTGTGGGGTGACTCAGCAGTTGATAGGCTCCTTGCTGAGTCAGGGACCCTCCCTTCTGACAACACCCCAAAGGGCCCCATAAAGGCAGGAAATGCCCAGTGGGTACTCAAAGTCTTCCATCCCCTTTCACTGCACCCAGCTGGAGGCAAAAGCCTCTCAAAGTCTCCATTCCATCTCCCCTGCCCTGGGGACCATCTGAAGTCCAGCTCTAGACTTCACAGGGGTCGGTTTGCAGGGCTCCTCTATCCGTTTTGCAACCCATGGGCTCTCAAATGTTTGCTATAAATCAGTGCAGTGGAGGCTAGGCAGATTGCTCAGAGGTGAAGGCAGAGAGCAGTTCAAAGCCCGGTACCCATGGGTGTGTTTGGATGCCTGCAGTCCCACCAGAGACAGGATCCCCAAGGCAAGCTGGCCAGCCAGGCTAGCCACATTTGTGAACTCTTGGTTTGAGTAGGTGGAGGAGAGATGGGATGATACGAACCTCAGGCCTCCACAAGCATGTGCACAAACGTGATTTAGAACACATTGTAAAGATAATGTGTGCGGCTATTTTACTTAGAGAATAATAGAAGGAACACAAGCAATCCACTGTACCCCCAACGTCTGTTTGCATGAGCACTCCTAGGATATCTAAATGAAATATCGTGCAGCCATGAAGGACAGGGAAAGGTACGGGATGAAAACTGTTTACCAATATTCACAGCTTTGTGAAAGCAATTCAGACATGAACCAGGGCCACCTCCACAGACAAAACAAGAAAGTTTGGGTGGGGTGGGTTATAGAATGTGGTGTTTTTTATAGTTAATGTTTTATTACATTTAACATTTTTATTTACTTGGATGTGGAGTGCCATGGTGCAGGTGTGAGGCCAGAGGGCAACTGTAGAACTCAGCTTTCTCTGGCGATCCTGTGGGTCCCAGGGATGGCATGCAGGTGATCTGCCTTAGCAGCAATCGCCTTTATTGCCTTCATCCATGGAGCTGTCTGCCAACTTTTGACATTTAACATTTTCTACAAGACCATGGATGGCCCGGCTTGGTGCACACGCCTTTAGTCCCAGCCCTCTGGAGACACTGATGGGTTTCTCTCTGAGTTCCAGGCTAGTCAGGGCTACATAGAGAGCGCCTGTCTCAAACAAACAAAAACAAAAGTACGAAAGGACATGAGCCAGGCTGTGGGTAGCTTTTCTGGAGGGAGGAAAATGGTCAGATGCCTGTCTCTTCCCAGAATTTCCAAGAATGGTGACAAGTTTTCCTCATACCCTCTGGGTCACATTGCTCCCAAATTGGGCCACCTTTTTTCAGGTCCCTGAACAGGGTGTTCAGCCTCAGCGGGACTCAAAGTTGGGGCCAAGAGCATCTCTGCAGTACGTAGGAGCTGCCTGTGTATCATTTAGATGCCAGCCAGCATTGGGTGCTCCTCCAGATCCAGAGCCAGCCATCCAGAACACACATGACACAAGTTGACATTTTCCCCCCGAGAGGGGTAGAAGAGAGGCAGAACGCTTCTGGGTGCCTGTGGGGCACATACTGCCCAATCCCACTGTTGGAGGAGCCTCCAACTGATGTCAGCAGCATGCAGGAGTCCTACAACACCTGTGGCTTCTCTCAGCTGGGCCGTTATGGCCTCAGAGCCCTGCAGGTGACAGCTGAAGGTGTTCACAAGAACAAGAGAAACGGCTCTACCCCAGGCTGGGGTCAGAGCACTGTGCTAAACTTGAGGCCAGCCTGGGCTACCCGAGACCAAAAAAATAAACAAGAAAAAGGGCTTCAGGAAAGACCACAAGGCTGTGCTCCTATCTATTTACATGTGAAGGGCTCAGGGTGTGGTTCAAAGATAATACTTTCCACCCAGCAAAGCAACCAAACCAACAAAAACAAAAACTCCAGATGAAGGAGGCAGAGGCAGTGGTTGCCCCAGCCTTTATTCCCAGAACTAGGGAGGCAGAGGCAGGTGGATATCAGCAAGTTCCAAAGTGAGGTCCAGGACAGCCAGGATTGTTATACTGAGAAACCCTGTCTCAAAAAAACAAATTTGTGCCCAGGTTAAGGGGCCACTGCGAGGTTCAGAAGTTTTGCATAAGTGTTCCACAAAGGGCACAGAGAGCTCACCCACCCTCCCTCTGCAACGGAAGTAAGCCTGAGTATTCACTCTCGAAATATGAATCATATTATCATCCCCATTTCTGCTTTTCACAGATTACCAAAGAGTTGTCAGCTGTTTCCAGGGCCAGCGTGGCCCCAGGGAGGGGGAGGATGGAGAGGAAATCCCTGCTTCTCTGTTGCAACTGGGGTGAGAGTGTGTTAAAACTGGGCTCTGCCTAAGGGCTATTTTCACTTTCTGGAAGTAACTTAGGCAATTGTCAGTAGCCATGGTTACTGGGGCCCTGAGCAGAGTCTTCAGGCAGAGGCACCTGATAATGAAAGGGTTAGGCTGGCTGCCTACAGGCATTGCAGGACGACCTCAGACCTCACGTTCTCCAAGACAACACAGGTGGGTGACTACAAAAACCACTGCCTTGCCCGGGGCATGAGGCACATGTCATTCCAGCCTGTCCCAAAATAACAAAAATCAAAGCCAGGTGTCACATGTCACCATGCTCACATGCCATTAGTTCAAAACTTTCTCAGCTGTGAGACCTTGAGTCTCAAATGGGGACAGAGAGCCAGCTCAGCTGGGTCAGGGCACTTATGCAGCTAAGCCTGAAGACCTAAGATGAATCTCCTGACCTACAAAGAGCAACACCGCCCCCCACAACAAAAATAAATGTAGTAAAACACCAACCCCTATAAAAAGATCAATCGCAGCACTTGGGAGGCAGAGGAGGGTAACTGAGTTTGCGGCCAGCCTGGGCTACTTATTAAGGCCCTGCTTCCAAAAATAAAAGTTTAAAAAAAGCAATGAGATGCCAGCATACTCCCTAAATTTGGCTAAAACCCCAGAAGTTACCAGGAAAAGGTTTTTAATTTTCCTCTTTCTCTCCCCTCCCCCAGCTTAGAGATGGCCACATCAGTGGGGCCAGTGCTTTTCCCAGTTCTGCGGAACAAGGGGGCAAATTATGGTTCAAAGTGGCTGCCTTAAAATAACCAGTGCCCAATCCTGAAACACCATGCTTACATTTAGAGAGAGCCCACGGGTCCTGGCAGCTGGGGCCTGCAGCTGGCGACCCTGGCCACAGGGGTGCTTCATATCCATACCCTCAGCCCCCCCACCCTCCCCAGCCACACCACTCTGGTGATTCTTCCAAAGACCAAGTTTTTAATTAAAAAAGGACACCAAGACTTACAAAACCAAAGCAGGCGGCAAAGATGCCATCGTCTCCCTTAAAGTAATACAATTTGCCACTTATATACAATCATAAACGACGCGCGTGACAGTACAAAGACCATTTCTCACAAGGCATCTAGCCTCGATCCTCTAGTGGGGACCCGAGGGAAAGAAGTCAATTATTGCACCATTTTGAAAACATTCGTCACAGGCTCCTGTCTTCTTCCCCGGGGCCTTTAGTCAGGGTGGGGGCCAGAACTGGCGGCAGAGTCAATGTCCTGTGGGCCACACTGCCCGGCCCATCCTCAGGGTCCAATAAATAGCAGTCAGTTTGCAAAGGAACCGTGCCCGGCGCGTGGGACCCGCCACGGCCGCGCATGGGGTAGTTGGGTCTACCCAGGCTACATATGTCGCTTCATATGCAGGGCCAGGTGGTCGGACCTGGAGAAGGCACGGTCGCACAAGTGGCACTGGAAGGGCCTGTGGCCTGTGTGCTTGCGGTAATGGCGGGGGGGGGCCCCCCCG